GGGGCGGCGGCAAGACCGGCGGTGGGGACGGTTCAGGGGTGGGCGATGTGGCGAGACAATCGCGGGGGGCGACAGTAGGTGGCTTGGCTGGTGGTACGCGAGCTGGTAAGAGGAGGAAGATGAGTCGGAGGTTGAAGAAGACAATATCGCTGTTGATTTTGCATTCAACGTTCCAAAATGATCGAGTGGCCAAAACCAGTTTTCAGTCGGTTGATTGTTAGCCATGCCCTTAGTTGGTACATTTAGGGCATCTTCAACAGTTTATTTGTTAGATTGTTGATAAAATATGGCATATGTCATCAGCCAACACATTATCATGCAACTATTCTAATAGGTTGTATCTAGTTTGCCCAATACGAGATGAGAAAATAAATAAGGTGCTCTCACCTTCTATAGGCCTTGTCTTGGGCATTACTTTGTCTGAATGGGTTCTTCTGTTCATCCTTCCCCTAGTGGCATGATTGTGTGGTTCAGAACGTAAACATTCATGAAAATCGGTGATGGCGGCTACCTTTCACTATAAGTTTCTTCTTGTACCTAAATTTTCCTCTTTGTAGGTGTTTCTCCGCGCGTGTTGCACCTTTGTTCGTGCCTGGGGACGACCAGAGGAGCATTGCTAGGATGGAGACAAGGAGGAGCAGCACTGTCATGGCCGGAGAAGATGGAAAAGATGAAAAAATGAAGGGAAAAAAGATCATTGGAATTTGGCGGCCAGAGGTCGGTGGGGCTGTGGGTGTCGGCTGGTGCAGGTTGGTCGTCGGAGGAAAGAAACACGGCAGAAGCGGCACTGACGTGCAAGTGATTGAGCAATAGAGAGAGGCGGTCGCGTGAGAGGAACTAATCTTTTCTAAGAATTGATTTTGCTCTCTCAAATTTGTGAACCGAGGGAGCACTCTCCTAAAATAATCAAGGAGCTAAACCCTTAAGGCTTCAGTTAGGTCTAGTTTAACTCCTCAAAATAAAAATTTAAAGAGTTAACCAGTTTTGAGGGATCGACTAAGATGCTCAGGTGGATCATACGCAAGCAGGGTTGCACTTGCCAGTGCTCCTAAAAGCAGAGAAGGCGATGACTAGAACTCCAGCACAACATCATCGGGTTAATAATTTGCTTGCCTGGAAATGCAATCCACTGCATGCTTCACTTCTACATTATCTGTGCTTAAACATTTAACCAAATGTATTATATCTCCCCGTCTTCCCCAGATGATATTGGATCGACAGATTTTAAAACCTTCAGATTTGGTAGGTGGTGCTCACACTTTGAGAGTAAGCTAAAGACATGCCGATCGCTACTGTAACGAACTGGTATAGTATTTAAATCTTCAGATTTTATTGGTGGTACTTGCACTTAGAAAGTTCACCGCCAGAGAGATCACGACCACGGCAGTCGATCGTGGTGCAGATAGTGTAGGAGTATTACTCCTATTTTATCACCAGTCAACTATAAGGTATTATATCTACTCACCGCTGACCAAATTAGCGCACAAAAAAAAGGTAGCACTATTTTTAATTTAAATTAAGACTTTCCTTTTGAGGCAAGATAAAGTTACTTTAATTAGAAAAAAAAAGATTCTTAACTGCTAAGCCAACCAGTCATTGATCATTATAATAAGCAACTGGGTCGTGATCATCTATCCTAGTAGTCACTGCCTAATTCCTTCCATGTTGTAACGAATCATTTCAAGGCCCGGTTCTTTTCACATAGAATTCTGCAGAATCAAGATTCTAAAAAATTCTTCCAGAATTTGCTTCCCATAGATTCTGCCATCAAGTTCTTTTCTGAAATAGAGTTGGGGTGATAAAATGTCTATACTACCCTTAAACAGAAATTGTTTGGTAAAATGTTAACACTTTGTTATTTCAAATAGTATCTTGTCAAATATAAGCACGAAGGTGATTTGGGAATATCATAAAGTGCTAAGTATTACAATTTGAATGGTTTTAAGGTTTTGTTCATTACAAAAGTTGGTGAACTAAAAATAGAACGAATAAGGTACGAGACTAGGTAACAATAGCCTCATGTGTTGTGGTCATGGTACCATCATCTTTGGTGGTAGAATGTTGGCACATGTAAACGGCGCGGATGAATCGAGTGTGGGGGCCATGGCCCCACAAACATTTTGCAAAATGTTTTTTTACTAGTGCATGCATATGCATATATCCAGTATACTAATTTTGTTGCAGCGTAAATACTCCAAAACTTCACAAAAAATCCTTTTGGAGGCCGATGGAGGCCATTTTATGTAAAATTCAAAATTCATATTTTTTTTATGTTTCAAAAAATTCTGATAAATACACATATACACATGGAGGCATAATGTACATGTATGTAAATTTTCACTATGAAATACATTGAAATGAGTGTTGTCCAAAAAGAAAGTACCTATGGCTTTTCAGCACATGATACTGCCCTGAAGTCCATGAATTTGTTTTTTTTTCGCACAAGTCGCAATTCAAGGTGTTTCATCGTGAATTTTTACACACACATACATATTTTTTTAGATCTTTTGAAACCAAAAATGTTGAATTTTGAATTAATCAAAAAATTGGTCTTCATGGAGCTCAGTCACCAACACAGCCTATTGAAAACTTCACCCCTTTGTAATGTTGCCCCCACATTGGTTGAATTCTAGATCTGTCACTAGTAAACCGACACTAACACTACTAGGGAAAACCTTATACAACGAATATTAGCAGCAGCGCGGCACAAAAAGAAGCGCTACTGCTAATTTGCAGTAGCGCGGCCAAGGAAAATGCGCTACTGATGCGAATTTAGGAGTAGCGCTTGGGGTCTAAACCGCGCTGCTACAAAAATTCACCGACAGTAACCAACACCCTAAGTTTAGCAGCAGCGCGGTGTCGCGGGGCGCGCTACTGCTACAGAAATAGTAGTAGCGCGCTTTTTGCTCAGGTCACTCCTGCTAATTTTGAAATTATCCGTGCGGTTGGCCCCGTTTAGCAGTAGCGCGTGCGAGAAACATGCGCTGCTGCTACGCTATTAGCAGTAGCGCATTTTCTCCCCCGCGCTACTGCTAAGTCGCAAGACCCCACCAACTTTTTCCACCAACCCATCCTCCCCTTCCCCATCCTCCCTTTCCCCTACCTCCCATCCTCCCTCTCTCACTCTTCTTCTTCCTCAATACTTCTCCCCCTATTACTCTCCCTCTTCTACCTACCTTTCTCTCTCTTCATTACTCCTAGCTAACACCAACTTCATTAATGCATCTCCTTTCTATTTTTCCTTCCCCTCCACTAGTTGAAGTTGTCTCCTCCCAAATTAGCTAGC